GAGGCCAAAATTATTAAAAACATTTTTTTTTATGTAATTATTTTTTATTTATTTATAGTTTTGCAGAACATATTACACACAAATCATATATTATTAATAAATATGAACATATAAATTAATATTTAGGATGTAACTTGCATATGAATGTAGCACAATTTCTATTAGTGGTTGACACATATGAGTTTTTCCAATGGATGATTCTTATATTACATTTGATCCTCTTAATCTTGAATGTGTACATCCTTATTTGTATTCACCAAATGGTGAGGATAGTTTGCCACACACTGCTAATGTAGCATCGTTATTCAGATGCTGTTCGAAATGTGCAAATGAACATCATTGTGCACAATAAACAGCAATGGGTGAACTGTGATTTATTTATGCAGTTTTTTGTTTCATTCTGGTGCATAAACACTGTCATAGCTAAAAACATTAGGACAACAAACACCGCCACCAAAACATCATTAAAGCCCCCCCCCCCAAAAGAAACGGTTTCTGAAAGTGATATAGTGGCATAGTGTCAAACTGGGCTAGCATCTAGGAAAGGTGCCAAACTGTTCATATCAGTTATTCACAGCTGCTTACTAACATTAGTAGGGGAAAAACATGAAGAAGGGGAAAGGTGAAAGAAGCTAAAATAATGCATACAAAGAATTCTGAATGCAACAATAAAGACCTCTGTTGTAAAACCATGAATAATGGATAAACAATACAGAAGGACTGAATGAGAAATGAGCCTGAGTTCACTGCTGCCAGCACTTTGTGTGATATAAACCTGAAATACAATTTGTCCATGTATGTGCTGAAGTTAAAGGTAATGGACATCATGACCTCCATTTTAAACGCTATGTTCCGTTCAGGAAAACTGATCACAAATATAAATCACATAAAACGTCAGCGCATTGTTTAAAACGTAGGTTATTTAAGTGCGCATCGAAATGATTTATTTTGATGTTTGTTTTTATCTATCAATCTAATTAAATACACATTTCAGAATAGGCTCAGAAAGACCATCACATTAGGAATGATCCTTCTGGCGTTTGTTTGTTTCTGCCCTACTGACCATGAATTTACTTCCACTGTTATGACGGTAGGCTATCTAGGCTACCTGATGCCATTAAGATTTCAAAAAAGACATTGAGGATGAAATCGAAAACTTTGTAATAACGTTCACTATCTTAATCAAAATGGCAAGACCTTCCAAATGATGTTGTTTTACATAAATCATTAGTGATTGAATATTATTCTTTTCAGTGTTATTGAATGCAAATATTTTTCACCTATACTCACGCCTAAATCCTGTTTTTCAGCTGCTCTTTCACCGTTCTCCGTGACACGACGGATCGGTCATCCGTACCAGAACCGAACTCCACCGAAACGGAAAAAGCCCCGCACGTCGTTCAGCCGCGTGCAGATCTGTGAGCTGGAGAAACGCTTCCACCGGCAGAAGTATCTGGCGTCCGCGGAGCGCGCAACGCTCGCCAAGGCCTTGAAGATGACAGACGCTCAGGTCAAAACCTGGTTTCAAAACAGAAGAACAAAATGGAGGCGAGTGTGAATCCAAGGCTTTCAAATTATTTCTTTATGTTGGCAATACCTGATTAGATATAATTCCCGATAGCAGCTAATTTAGTCAGAACTGAGCTTAAGAGAAGAGGGCATTTAGGGCCTAGTGGAAAAATACTACTGTAAATTTGCAGAGGTTTGCTTTATGTTTATTTATTTTACATTGGACACCAATTGCCTTGACCAAGCAGAAACGTTCAAGCTCTTAAAAGGCTCTGTGGAAACTTGCTGTCCATGCAGTACTGAAGCTATACTTCTGAATAATTGAGAGCATGTCCATCCTTTCCCCATAACCTACTCAACCTTTTGCTGTTGGCTTTTTTGGAGCAAATAAGTGCCCAATCTAATTAAGAGCTGGCTTACTTACCTTTGGTTTTACCAACGGGCTGCAATAGGCAGAGGAGAGAGCTGGCTGAAGGTGACTTATTTATAATGAAGCTGAGTCATGGCCTTTAACAAATAAAAATGTGTTATGGTTGCTTCAGTATGCCTACTCATCAATATTTATGGGGCTCAACTTAATTCAGCAATTATCTGCATGTGCTGAAAGCTGCTGGGAAACATTGCTTTTAGATGCCCTATAGGACTGAAATTCTGGTAAATCTTACCTCACAACTGGATACCAACCAAACCTGAATATCAATAGCAACACAGAGAACTATTTATTTTAAAATGAATTCACATGTCATGAATGCATGAAATCATACAGCCTAATAATGACTTCATCTTCCATGACAAAATCTGTCCACCACGAGGGTGTAAATCGTTGCTCCTTACCTGCCGCCCGGCGTCCAGCACACGTCACAGCTAAATGCATCACTGTAATGTGATTGCACTTGGCTCATTTGATTACAGGCTTGTTACCCGTACGATCGACACACACACACATCCTTCATTCTCAAAGTGTCTCTAGCTGAATATTATACATCACAACAAAATGGGAAAACCTGGAGTGAAATGCAGCACGCATTTGTTTCTAGCTGTTTCTGCTCACTTTTTCCATGCTGTTAGTGATCCCACTTGAACCATTTATCATTTTTTAAAGAATGAAAAAAACAAAAACAAAAAAAAAACAGGGCATTATAAGTAATATGTATAAAGTATCATATGTAAATGGTAATTCTTTAATTTATTTCAGGAAAACATATACATATATATATATATATATATATATATATATATATATTTATTTGGATTTAAATTACAAATTACCCTAATCTAAAAAAAGTGGAAAAAATGAGCTATTTTTAACCTTAAAATAGATTTTGTTGGTGCAAAAAATGCAAACAATACAATAAAATAAAAATAGAAACAAATTAATTCACGTTGCCTGACAAAACTATTTTAATTTGCTTGTTTCTTGTTGCTCCCTCTGTGTTTCGAAATCATGCTTTCTGCATGTGCCTTTCAACATTTAAAATGAAAAAAAAAAATCTACATTTCTTCATTCAAATTAAATAAACTTTTGGTGACAGTTC